AATAATCTGTGATCTGCAATGATGAATAAAGGGTCGATTAATCCTCACATATATTTCACATAATTGCAAAAAAGCACAATTACTATTAAAAGGAGAAACTGAAAGGTTATCAAAAGTCCAGGAGTCAGACCCCTTCATTTGTGCACAAGGGCAGATTTAGGGGTGCCCCCCCCCCTTCCCTTTTATGGTTTATTAAATATTTCAGCCTTACATGTTCAATATTGAATCCAGGCATTTGCTAGATTTAAGCTTTCAGAATGCACTGGATTGCATCTCAGAGAACTTCAATCTCGAAAATTTTCACGGAGGAGCATGTACCTGAACCTCCCTAGAAAAGTGTGCCCCTTGCAGTCCTGATGGGCGCTATTGTGCCCATAATGCCACTGTATACTACATATCTAGGCCCCCTCTATCAAAAAATCCTCTGTCCGTCCCTGGTGCACCTTGCTATAAAGTGGGAAGTGAATTTGTCAAACTGAGTTGGGACACAAGCGAGGTTTCTCATTCACTTTTCTTTTCATCTTAAGGTCATTTGATAAATATAATTTATTATTTGTAAGGCACCAAATAGCATTTAAATACTCCATTTCCACAGAATTCCAAAGGGACAGAAGAATCGGTCCAGACAATATTATTAAAACATCAAAATGCTTGACTGTGATGTACATTTATGTGAGTAAATATAACTGTTCCATCTATGTAGCAATATTATTACCTTTTATTTTCAAGGAAGGGAAAGGTCTCTACTAATATCAGTTTTATGTCACTTTCAGTCATCTTTGAAGAAATCTGCACATTTGTTTTAAACTGTCCTTTTTCTGATTTTTTAAGTTGAGCCATTTCAATTGTGTTCGGCATGAACACTGTGCCATCCCTTTCTACAACATCACAGGGCTTCAACACCACAACACTCTTCCCTGTTAGAGCCCCAGGTTCTTTCTTAGCTCGCTTCAGTGCAACTAACTCATTCTCACTGCACTTGAAGGTAAGTTGGACATAGCTATTGTCCACAGCAGGTGGCTTTGCCATGATACCTGTTCAGAAACACAAAGAAATCAACAAATTTAGTATAATTATTCACTGCTTTTGAAAATATTAAAGCACAATCGATATCCCTCAACAAGAAGTAGCAAGTAGACAAGTGGATCTTGAAACAATAATAGGTTTCTTTGCCGTTTTACAGTCAGGTTTGCATTTGAATAACAAAAACACAGTAGACATCACATAACCATCCTCTGCTCTAATGATCTAAAAGATGGAGACTTTCTGTTTGCATAACCCCCTAATATCAAAGACCCCCCCCCCCCCCCCCCCCCCCCCCCCAAAAACCCAAAAACAAACCCCCCCCCCAAAAAAAAATAAAAAAAGCCAAACTCAAAAAACACATTGATTAAACATAAGAATAATAACCATAAACACAAAGAAAAAAAAAATATTACAATTTAATGAGATATATAACAATATTACAATATAAAACTTATAATAGCCCTCAACAACAAGTAGCAAGTAAAAAAGTGGATCTTTAAACAATAAAAGGTTTCTTTTCCGTTTTAAAGTCAGGTTTGCATTTGAATAACAAAAACACAGTAGAGATCACATAACCATCCTCTGCTCTAATGATCTAAAAGATTGAGACTCTCTGTTTGCATAACCCCCTAATATCAAAGACCCCCCCCCCCACCCTACCCCACCCCAAACAATAGACAGAAATTGATCTGGTTCCCAAAATAATTATAGCATGGCTGTAGCTCAAAAAGTCTGTGTTCACGATCAAGGTACAGACCATTTGACTGTAATGCAAAATACACTTTGTCATTGAAGAAGTATGTGCAAAAATTCTACATTAATGCTATTGATAATAAATCAAACACATTTTTCAAATTGGGAGAAAATGGGCTTATTCTAAAATAAACACAGAAAAGCTCAAAAGCTATTTCATGCAGGCAATTTGGTGAGCCGTTCAAGAGCCTGGAGATTAAATGTATGTGGTTACATCCATTCCCACATAATCTAGCAGGGATGGCATAATAATTATTGTTAAACATCAACTATATCACTTTACCAGTAAACACTACATTAGAATTGTATATGATCCTCCGCTTTGTGAAAGTATTCAGTTACACGCGAATGAAATAAAATAAGGCTTAAAATTTGAAGTTTGCTTTTAGAAATTAGCCCATTTGGAAGAATTAAACCACTAAGCTGATTCAGTTGACCAAAAATTATGCAAACATTATTATCGGGGCTGTCATTAACAGGTGGGGGCCAGGGTTTTTCCCGGCTACTATGAATGTGGTCCCCAGCTACTTTCATGGGAAAATAGAACAAAAATAGAACTAAAAGAAATCCCTAGCTCTCCGATTCCCCGCCTACTTGTTTTATTTACCCGGCAACTTGAAATCTTAGTGATATCCCTGATTATTATGCATATTGTTTTCAACACTGAAATCAATGCATAATTTACATGTCTGAATAGATACAGGTAAGGTCAATATTTACTAGCAGTCAAATTTCTTCCGTATGAAACATGATGCGGCAAAAGCTGACAAGGACCAACATTGCAAAGTCAAAAAGGGCCAGCAATATAACATCATAACTGCCTTCATAACAGAAATCTTGGTTGCTAATCATAAACAAGCTCAGCAGGGTTTAGTACACTGGTTGACTGAACATGATTTAAAAACACTAACATTAACAACAGAAACAATAGGAACAATGCTGGAACAATATTCAGAACAAACTTCACATGGCTGTTCTATAATTAAACTCAGACTTGCAGATTGCTTTATTCTTGGCTTCCATACAATTGTTATAAATCTACTGATAATTTATTAAAAAAATCAGTAAGTTTCTTCATGCATAATATAATACTTGCTTAAAGAAAAAAGTCAACCTCTAGTCTGCAGTGTGAAAACTCCTGAAGGCAAAATTCAAGTTGATATGTTACACGATTTTAGCCCACCATATACCAATTACTGGCAAGATAGTGCAGATTATAAATTTGAAAACTAGACATTCAAACGTTGTAACATAATTATTGCACTATTGCACGCTGTGACACATCACAAATAATTTGATCACAAGACTGAAGTGAACATCACAATAATTTATATGCAACTTCATAACGTCCACGATTTGAACATGAAATATTTCTGGAAAAAGTCATTGAATCCACATATTAAATGCTCAGACTGATCTTTTGAAACATCTACTGAAAAATCGGTTGTGGATGAGAGAATTTGATAAAATATCAAAACATTTGCTGAATTCTCATATAACCTTTTTTCTTGATGATGCATGCACGTGGAATATTGTTTGGAGAAAATTGATGCTAGTCAATCCAGGGACTTAAAAATCAATGGACAAGTGGGAATTTTATTAACATCTGTGAGAGGTTTGAACCTAGGAGTCACTTCATAGGTAGGTTGAGCAATGATCATCCGGGTGAACATAGTCCTGAATAGGACTGTTGTTGACGGTGACTGACATTTCAAGAACCTGTGCGGTATAGCCACCTTCTACATCGTCATCTAAATGAGCTAAAAAATTTTAACTGCAAATATACTGAAAAGACAAGGCCAGCATCACAATAGACTGAATGTAGATGTATCAATAAAGTTCACTTGAATGGCCAAACCACTGATCCATTGACAAAGGGAATATACATGACAAAAGAAATCAATAATTTATTAGTCTGAGAAATGTATAAACATCATTTATTTCAACCTACATGTTTTTCAAAGCAGTTATATATAAAAATAATGATGCGCAATTTAAAAGTATTTTTAGATTTGTGGGGGCTGGAGTTCAGTTGTTTGTCTTGTCCTGGCTAGTACTTTAAAGTGAGTCAAGCTTTAATCTTAAATCATCAAAGCTGGCAAAATTTGATTCAATGCCAGCAAAATCTCAGGATGACTCGACGCAGCTTTTTCAAATTTTCACAGGAAGTAGCATGCTAGCAGGGTTTTAAATAATTTTGCAGACGCCCAGTGGCAGCTGAACACAAAATGACCCACATTTAGTGATTAGGGTTAGGAAACTGTGTAAATCAGGTTCCATTTACTTGCAGGGTCTTTAAAATTTTGCGCAAACTGACCTGAAACTTGATTTACTCAGTTTCCTAACCACTAAAATTTAGGAGCCATTCGGCATTCAGTGTTCTGCAACATACACCAGCTGGTAGCATTTTCCCCAACCCTTCTTCAAATCTTGAAGCTAACACCTTCAGGGGGGGACATTGGGGGGCACCCAATACCGCAATAACATTAGAAAAATTGGCCAATACCAAAATACCATGTCAAAAATCGACGAAATACCGATACTGCATTTATGATCGGTCACGCTTACTTAAAGTTGTATCCATCTCGCTTGTTTGTTTATGTCAAGCATTTACGCACCAGCAATCAACCTCAGCCGTCTTTAGTTCAAGACGTCAAGTTGATCAGTACAACGATCAAAAAGCATTCCCTACTAATTTTATCAGAAATTGTGTAATCATTAACCATTAAGTTTAAATTCTTAAAAGTATTGACCTGCATTAGACAGGAGAGCGTACTGAACAGTACCGCAATACCGTGAATGATCTTCTTTTACCGAATATTGTTAGCCAAAAGGATGAAAACCACATTGCGCACGACAAGATGAACTGCAATTCCACACATTAAAATCAAAATTACTGAAATACCACTTCAAAAAAAGCTCAATACTGCAATACCATGAACCCCCATGTCCTGCTCCTTCAGTACGTTGCTCAAACATTCAAGTACAGTGCTAAGACAGAAGACAGACCCTTAATTTGCTTTCAAGAAGGTAAAACAGCATCATTTTTGTTTATCCTGCATCTCTATTTTTTAAACTCAGCTGTGACTGAGTACATGTGGATTGATTTGCCATGGTTATTTCTGTAAATTGAAAAACACATTTCGCAACATCTGATGCTTTTTACTCTGATCTGAGATAAATTGTAAATATTTCTCTTTCCAATCAATTGGTATACTTTACCTATTATCTCAGAGAAAATCTCCTTGTAAGATTTTATAAAGAGGGTCTGACTGAGGTTTACTGTTCACTGTTACTTGACCATTATTAAAACAGCTAAGAAAACATAAAATATAATTTTACAAAAAGTTTGGTGCTGAACGTGTAATAGATTGCCAAATTTGAGTCTCTTAAGAGTAATCAGAAGTGGGTTAACAATTCTACCAATCCACTTATCATGGTCAAACAACAAAGTCGATCTGATGCAAAGACAGGTTTCTTTGAAAAACAATGGTTATTCTGTTTATGCTTAGTTTGAGCTCTAAAGTAAACAGCTGGCAGAGTTCGCGTCATTTACAAAAAAACCAAAACAAGAACTTCTTGCGACTTCGCAATAATTTATTCTTCTGTTCATGGCCATGCCTGAAGCACATGCATTAAGGATGATATACACTGCTCCCAAATATGCAAAGTAAAAGGGTTAAAATCTTTGCTTCATTGGTCATGTGCATGTCTGGTGTTTTATATCACAATAAACGAAGGAAATGAAGCTCGGACGAACAACTACAGTAGACGAAAGCGAAACTCGCAGTTTCAAGGCGCTAATTCATGTGACAATGGACAGTACATGCAAATCCAAGAGAAAGGACACGACATTGAGCAACAGCGGAAACAAGTTATTTCTGTCAGAAATTCAAAATGAAGAATTTAAAACACCTCTTCAATCACCCCACGTTTCTGTTATAGGCATTGGTTCCTAGAAAATCGATACTATGGGAATACAGCTTCCCGGATATTGAAACGACAAAAACAATTTTGATGCGAAGTCGATATTTTCTTCAAGTTGAAAGGCCAAAGATGTCAGATTAAGTGTATAAACGTTTCCTTCTACCCATCTTTGTTCATTTTAGCACAGCGCGGTGGAATACTTCGTCAAAAGGGAGAACGTATTTAAGCTTAAATTGTCTCCTCCGAAGCCCCCGAGGACTACATTAAGCGTCCTCTTTCGATTTAATTTTCCGACATTTTGGCGAATTAGGATGTGTTAGCGTTATCTAGTCCATAAAGGCTTCTTTGAGACATTGAAAAACCGCCTGTAACATTGGCTCCTTAAACTAAATCACCATTTATAGTTGGGTGAACAACTAACAGCTCCAAAGTACAAAGGAAGGAGCTATCGACCGCGCTTCGCCAGAGAGTAGTTAGGAATATCTAAGAAAATATTTCGGTGAAGCAAAAACGGCTTTAAATTCGCAAATTTCATCAAGGAAAAACTATGAAGAACAAGCTATACCCATACCTTTTCTTTGAAACACTTCAGTACGGACAAACAACAACTCTTTTATATCTCTTTAGAAGACATAAACGGTCACGTGGTTATGCTCACTTATCAGACAAGATAATCAATTTTTTTGGCTGACGTTTCAACCTCGTCCCAGAGGGCTCCCCAGGGTCTGGGTACGAGGTTGGCTTCGTTTCAGTTCTTGACCTCACAAGCCCCTGGGGACAACCTGGGGACGAGGTTACGGTTTCCGGTTTCAGGACAATCTCGACCCAGAGCTCTTCTCCGCATGTAGAGGAGAGAGAGGATGTTTCCAAGTGAAGTTTCCATTCCCGACCTCAGTACATGCGCAGAAGAGCTCTGGGTCCAGATTGAGAGCGTTTCCAGAAGTTTCCGGTTAGTCCGGTTGTAGTCCGCTTGGTCCGCTTCCAGGCTCTTGTAACGGCATGTGATAAAATATAAAGGATTGGACTGGATTTGTAAAACGCGGTTTTTTCAACTTTTGGCCGCAACCAGTTTGCTAGAGAAAATTCGTCAACCCGTCTGGAAAGAGCGCCTTAAAATCAGTAATGTTACCAAGTTTAAAACCGTGATGCTGCTGGTTTCCTCACAGCGTCACCAAAATTCAAACCAACAGAAGAATCATCGCCCTTTATGAGTTTTAAACGTTCATGAGGTATTAAAGCAGCCAGAGATACAGTAATTAAAAAATTAAAATTTAAAAAAAACGCGGATTAATAAAACATAAATTAATGTAGGTACAGGTTATAGCATGATTTGTTGTGACATTTGGCATAAATACCACGAATGATATTTCAAAATTGTTATACGTAAATTTTGAGACAGTTTTTCACGCACAAATCATGCTACCCGCAAAAGTTTTGTAATTTTCACATGTAGGTATTTCAAAATAAGATGAATTACAACAGTATTGCTCTAAGCCTATCAAATTGCAGAAATTTCTTATGAAGTAGTATAATTATAGGTAATTATATAACAGCATGATTTGTAGTGATATTTGGCACAAATACCACTGTTATACGTCATTTCACGAGGCGTTAGGCGAGTGAAATTTGAGACAAGTACGGGTAATAGCATGATTCGTAGTGATATTTGGCATAAATACAGTTGTGATATTTCAAAACTGTCTCAAATTTCGCTGTCCTAACGGCTCGTGAAATTACGTATTACATTTCGAAATATCACTCGCGTTTTTTTTTTTTATGCCAAGTTCAAGTTCCGGGAGGGAAAAGTACAACCAACTTAATGGCTGTTGTTCACCGTAAAGCCAAGTCAAGCGTACCCCCCAAGATTACATTAATGAATTTATT